TCCCCTACACATACACATACTACACTCCCCTACATACACATACTACACTCCCCTACATACACATACTACACTCCCCTACATACACATACTACACTCCCCTACACACACATACTACACTCCCAACTCCACAGAAACTACCACACTCCCCAGTACCACTATCAAAACTGGACGAACCATTGCCAGACCAGCACACCCTGGGTCAGGGTGAAGAGGAGGGGAGAACTACCAAAACCCTTCAGAAGTGACACGCAATATGGAAAATCATTCATATTCGCAAACATACAAGGCCTAAGGTGAAAATAAAGAAATAAAGTTAAGTTCATAAATGGCCTTCTAGTAGAGTCAAACTCAATACTTGGGGCGTTTTCGGAAACTCAAATGAAAGATTATATGAATAGTGAAATCTGGATTTCAAATTATATTTTTTATAGATGTGATAGAGAAACTACGTCAAATGGAAGAGTAGGTCTGTATATTAAAAATGATCTGGTATGCACAAAGCTACTGAACTGAACCAATGAGGTGGTAGAGGTACTTGGAATCAAGGTAGAAAAAATGAACCTAATTATTATTCTAATATATAAACTGCCAGATACAACGGTTGAGGAATTCACAGAGCAGAAGCACAAAAGAGAGAACATCCTTGATAACCTAGCAAACCCAGATCTAGATATGATCTTCCTTGGAGACTTCAATCTACCAAGTCTAAGATGAAGAACGACAAATAATATCATAGCAGGGAACCAACCTAGAAATAATCAACCACATGTAAGAGAACTTTTGAGATTGTGACAAATTCTCGCTCAATCGACAGATTACAGAACCAACTAGGAACGAAAACATACTAGACCTGATATTTACCAACAATGATGAACTAATCAGACACATTACAATCTTAGATAATACTATACTCAGACCATAAGTTCACTGAAGTGCAAATTAACATTAATAACGGTAGTAGATCCAAGAGAACCAAGAAGTGAAAAGGGTTATTCAATCAATTCAATTTCAGTAATAAGAGGATCAGCTGGGAAAAAATAAATATAGACCTTGCAAACATTTAATGGGATACAGTCTTAAGCAACAAAACTCCCACATAGGGAATAGCTCAACTGACAGCTGGTCCCCGTGGTCTTTCTCCTACCAGCATAACCAGCGGTGGGAAATGGCTCTGGCAAGGTTACATATTAGCCATACACGTTTAACTCACAGGTACTTAATGGAGCGCCGCCCTGCTCCTTTTGTCCAAACTGCATTGTCACTCTTACGGTCATGCATATCCTTGTTGAATGTCCTAACTTCAGGATGTGCGTGTGTCTTGCTTCCTGACGGTCACTCACGGTCACCTGTCCTTCAACAGAATCATTGGTGAATCGGATACCTTTGAGGATGATCGCCTTATGCGCTTTTGTTCTTGTATTGGCATCATTCATGATATTTAGCACCTTTTGAATATCCCGCACATTTGACGGTGCTACATAGCCTCCCAGGCTTGATGCATTCTATTGATAATTACTTACTTCAACTGACAGCTGAAGCATACAAGATCTGTTTAAAGCATGTGCCCCTGAGGAGGGCTAGAAAGATGACCACTCCAGAAAGAGAACGCAGACGACTGTACAAGAGAAGAGAAAACAACGGAAATGCTTAAACAGACACGTTCATCACAAGAAAGGAAAATAAATACAAACAGGGAGATCAAAGAAATAGAGCAAACGTTGAAGTGATCATGCGAGTCTGAGGAAATGGAATTGGAACAGAGAGCTATACAAGAGATAGAAAAATCCTAATTTTTTTTCACAAATGCAAAATCAAAATCCTCAACCAGTATTGGACCTTTAATTACAACTGAAGGTACATATACAGAGGACAACAAAGAAATTAGTGAAATTCTAAGAAGCCAGTATGAGGTTATGTTTAGCACACCAATAAACAACATGAAAGTTGAAGATCCAGACAGCTTCTTTATGAATGACATCCAAGCTGCAGATAATATAACGGATATTAACACGAACTCGTAAGACTTTGAAAGAGAACTTGACAACATGCCCATGCACTCGGCCCCTGGTCCTGACTCATGGAATTCAATATTCATAAAGAAATGTAAAGTACCAGTAGCATGAGTGCTCAGTGTGATATGGAGAAAGAGCCTGGATACAGGGGGAGACACCAGCAGCACTTAAGTCTTCAAATATAGCTCTTTTGTACATGGGAGGTCATCTTGGTTATCTTGAGATGATTTCGGGGCTTTTTAGTGTCCCCGCGGCCCGGTCCTCGACCAGGCCTCCACCCCCAGGAAGCAGCCTATGACAGCTGACTAACACCCAGGTACCTATTTTACTGTTAGGTAACAGGAGCATAGGGTGAAAGAAACTCTGCCCATTGTTTCTCGCCGGCGCCCGGGATCGAACCCAGGACCACAGGATCACAAGTCCAGCGTGCTGTCCGCTCGGCCGACCGGCTCCCAAAGTAGGTAGGGAGGTAGTAAAGCTTGGACAAAAAATTATAGACCAGTTGCACTAACATCACACATAATAGAAGTACCCGTAGTACTCAGGTAGTTTATAAAAGAGTGATTAGGAATCAAATTTAGTTTTATGGAAAATAATGAACTGCACAACCCAGGACAATATGGATTGAGAGCGGGAAGATCCTGTCCCACCGTGAGGTTACTTTGAGGTGGTTTAAGGGCTTAGCGTTCCCGCGGCCCGGTTGTCGACCAGGCCTCCTGGTTGCTGGACTGGTCAACCAGGCTGTTGGATGCGGCTGCTCGCAGCCTGACTTGTTGATCAGGCCTTGTTGATCAGGTATCCTTTGGAGGTGTTTATCAAGGTATCTCTTGAATTCTGTGACGGGTCGGCCAGTTATACCCCTTATGCGTAGTGGAAGCGTGTTGAACAGTCTCGGGCCTCTGATGTTGATCCTTTGTATGTGTCTCATTTGTATGTCATAGTTCTCTCTCAGAGTACCTAATGCACCTCTGACTTTCAATGGGGATATTCTGAACATCCTGCCATGCCTCCTGGTCTCGTGTGGTGTTATTTCTGTGTGCAGGTTTGGGACCAGCACCTCTACTATTTTCCACGTGTAAATTATTATGTATCTCTCCCGCCTGCGCTCAAGAGAATACAGATTTAGGCATTTTAGTTGGTCCCAATAGTTTAGATGTTTTACCGACTGGATTCTATCAGTAAAGGATCTCTGCACGTTCTCCAGGTCAGCAATTTTTCCAGCTTTGAAAGGGGCTGTCATTGTGCAGCAGTATTCCACTCTAAGAGAGCACTTGCGTCTTGAAAAGTATCATCATCGGTATAGCATCTCTAGTGTGAAAGGTTCTTGTTATCCAACATGTCATTTTCCTTGCAGTTGTGACGACTACTTTATTGTGGTCTTTACAGGTAAGGTCTTCCGACATAAGTACACCCAAATCCTGTCAGTCACAGTTACTCAACCACTATGACAAAATAACAGAAGTCTTAGAAGAAAAGCAAGATGCAGATGTTGTATACACAGACTTTGCAAATGCATTCGACAACTGTGACCATGGAGTGATAGCCCATAAAATGAGATCAATAGGAATAACGGGTAAAGTGGGGCGTTGGATTTTCAACTTTGTCAAACACGATGCAGAGAGTTACGGTCAATCAAATAAGATCAAGCCGAAGTGCAGTGAAAAGCTCTGTACCCCAGGAACTAACAAATGCCCAGAGACCTGAAAGCTGCAATATTAAAAGCTATGACAACTTTTGTAATAATAGGAATTTTATGGTTGTATGGTCAGCACAGTAACCGGACCAGGCAATGTGATGTAGTCATTGCGCGAATTCGCCTTGGCTATACACACATCTGGCAGGTTAGTGAGGCTGAGCCACTACCAGAATACTCAGATTGTAAACTCTGTCATAAACCTTTAATGCATTCACTAGAACACTTTATTGTTGAATGAGAAACCGTAAAAGATGTTATACCTCCTGGCCTCTTGTACCACCAACTGTGTAACTATTTCATTGAATCTGGTGTATTGGACGACATCCTAACAATTTATCCAAAATTTGCTTGTCCATTTTAAAGAATGAAGAACAATTTTATATTTAAGCTGCATCACTTATGAACCCATCCCTGCCCTTGTGTGGCAGTGTACAATAGAAAGTTGATTTCACATATTCATACATCGAAACATTGATTGTAACCATGATATATATGTGCTTCAGCCTACAGATTAGACCTATTGTCTTGTATATGACCCTCTGTCCTGCGTGACAGTGAATACCAGCATTATCCTCACTTATTTAGAATTAATTGAAATCCTCAGATTAGGCAAAATTGTAATTAAGTTTTGTCAATAAAGATGTTAATAATAATAATAATAAGTTCCAGGCAAGGCCCACGGTGGTCCAAGCTTAACCGTGGGCCAACTTTGTCTTGTGATAACTTGTTGTTGTTTAAGATTCGCTACTTGGAAAAAAAGTTCCAAGCAGCACGGGCTATGGTGAGCCCGTAGCTTGTGATAACATCTACTTGTGGCCCGTAGTACTCAGGGTACACCAACTACAACCCAGGTGGCTCGGCACTGCTTCCAGGAACTAGTCAAATTGTCTCTTAAACACCTCATTCTTTGGGAAATATTGTAGGTATGACAAGTTACGAGAGTCCACATATTTGTGTCAACTGAATCCCGACTCGTTTGGGGTAAATTGTTCATTTTGTTCTTATTTAACAATAGTGATGAATAACAGCATATGGTTAAGCCAGAAATTGATAAAGGTCGTTAATAGAATGGCACCGTGTAGTGACCTGCTATACAGGGTCATTCTATACAGGGTCATTCTGTACAGGGTCATTCTGTACAGGGTCATTCTGTACAGGGTCATTCTGTACAGGGTCATTCTATACAGGGTCATTCTATACAGGGTCATTCTATACAGGGTCATTCTATACAGGGTCATTCTATACAGGGCCGTTCTTCACTGTGTCACTGACTTCTTGTTCCTCTTCCACAGGTCAATGCGGCTACCGGCACCAACTTCGTAGCATGGTAAGTCTTGAAGACCAGCTCGCAGGGATCCTCTTGTAAGGTGGGGACTGGGCGGTGAGGTTCGGGGTTAATTGGAGGGGGTTTGGAGGTGAAGTCGTGGTTAGGTGGAGGTTACACTCCTCACCTTGCCATTCGTCCACCCCAAATCCTCGACAATACCTGCTCCAGATGTGTGTATGTAGTACATAACCATCCTGTGGGAGGTAGTGTACCCCCCCCATAACTATCCTGTGGGTGGTAGTGTACCCCCATAACCATCCTGTGGGTGGTAGTGTACCCCCCCCCCCATAACCATCCTGAGGGTGGTAGTGTACCCCCCCCCCATAACCATCCTGAGGGTGATAGTGCACCCCCCCCCCATAACCATCCTGTGGGTGATAGTGCACCCCCCCATAACCATCCTGTGGGTGGTAGTGCACCCCCCCCCCATAACCATCCTGTGGGTGGTAGTGTACCCCCCCTCCCCCCATAACCATCCTGTGGGTGGTAGTGCACCCCACGCCCTATATTTTTAACAGAACGCCACCAGTTTTTACATATTAACTAATTGTAAAATATTTTCACTTAAAACACTTTAATTCTTAGCTGCCACCACCTTTACTCTCACTGAAAATTAATTACCTTCAATACAGGTAATTTTGTATTGAATTAATTTACCTTGGACTAGCAGTGTAGGGTACCAGTTCCCTGCTGGCTTGGAGATATTAATTACCCTAGGTGCCAGGGAACTTTAATTGAACTAAAGTCTAATGCAACTTACCCCTTCTCTCAGCACTTATACAGGTATAGGAAATAGAGTACCGAGAACTCTTACTGTTTACTGATATTCAAATAATATGCTCCTCTTTTTCCCTAATTACTCCTTATTGTCTTGGAGGGAGGTAGTTTAATATTTACCGGATATCGGCAACGAACCAAGAGAGGTGCCGCCAAGAGTGTGCTTGAACCTGGCTGCCTTGTGTTATGGTAGACAGGAGTGAAGTGATACACACAATGATAAGTGTGAAGTGATGTGAAGTGATAATGACTTACAATTAAGCTGCAGACGAGGAGTCACAATAACGTGGCTGAAATATGTTGACCAAATCACACACTAGAAAGTGAAGGGACGACGACGTTTTGGTCCGTCCTGGACCATTCTCAAGTAGATTGTGGACCATTCACAATCGACTTGAGAATGGTCCAGGACGGACCGAAACGTCGTCGTCCCTTAACTTTAAAGTGTTGTTTGGTCTACATTTAAGCTCATTCTATTTAGCGCTGAAATCCTATGCTAACTTTTCCCTAACAAGGCAAATAGAATTATCGATGCTCGTGGGAACATGGGAACAGGTACTCACGCAATATACAGATTTGATAAAATCCACGGGCTTGGGTGTCACTCCATGTGACGCCTAGTCTCTCTGCAGCGCCCCCTCAAAAAAAACCACAAATCCGTCCCAGTTAAGGACCAACTCAGACGAATTTAAAATCCATCTTCTCTAGCTCTCGTGCCCTGTTCCCCCCCCCCCTCTAATCAGAACTCGATTAGCCTACGAAAACCTTTTGAAGCAGCATCAGAGGTGAGTATGTGGAGCTCTACCTTACTCCCTCTGGTTCAGTGGAACTCGTCAGCAATAACCTTTCCTCCCTCACACACTTTGGCTAAACTCAGAACACCCCCAGAGTCTCCCAGTCTCTCCGGCCACCCTTCAGGCCTCACCTTGCGTCACTCTGAGCTGTGTAGATACAGGATGAGCTCGCCTTGGCGGGGAGGATGACAGCCAGTCATCTCACATACCTGTATGTCTACAGGATTGTGCTACCTTCTGGCATATATTAGAAAAGCCCCCAGGGTGTGATCGCCCTCTTAAAAATAACGTCGCTTTTCGCTCGTATGCGCGCTATGGCCAAAAATGGACGTAATTTTGAATGAAATCGGCTCACGGAAGTGATGTACTGTCCCGTTTTCTGTTTGAGTCCTCAGGCTTACTCGGAAAGGTTAGGAGAGGAAACTTTCAATTAACATTTTTCATGACGTTTTGAAACTTTAGGAGAATTTCCTGCCCTCCTAACCTACTAAAGGATCCTTAACTTCCTGTTTTGGAAAAAAATCCAAAATTTATTTTATTTTTTTTTCATTTTCAAATTACGTCCATTTTCGGCCATACGGGCAAACGGCCAATTCAGCTGTAATTTATAAGAGGACATGTTGGTAGACACCCATTTAATTTTTCACCCATCCTCTGAGTGGGGGGCGGGGGGTAGTGGACCCCATACCCATCCTGTGGGGGGGTAGTGGACCCCATACCCATCCTGTGGGGGGGTAGTGGACCCCATACCCATCCTGTGGGGGGGGGGGTAGTGGACCCCATACCCATCCTGTGCGGGGGGGGGGTAGTGGACCCCATACCCATCCTGTGCGGGGGGGGGGGGGTAGTGGACCCCATACCCATCCAGTGGGGGGGGGTAGTGGACCCCATACCCATCCTGCGGGGGCGGTAGTGGACCCCATACCCATCCTGTGGGGGGGGGGTAGTGGACCCCATACCCATCCTGTGGGGGGGGGTAGTGGACCCCATACCCATCCTGCGGGGGCGGTAGTGGACCCCATACCCATCCTGCGGGGGCTAGTGGAAAAGTTTATAGAGGCACTGATGGGCTTAGAAACTGAGCAACCCCCAACATTCATTTAGCTAAGCAAGTTACAGTCTTGATAAACTAGTTACATAATATGATGTACAATATACACCAACAATGGCTTCAAGAACTGTAACTCCACAGTTTCTAAGCTAAGCAATTTACATTTGCAGTGAGCAAGTTATACTTAAGTTAATTTGATCTAGTCGTCATGCACCCATGCAGTGGCCTGGGGTGGAAAATTTACGGTCACATGCATGGGCTGTGCCTTTACATTAGTTGATTGACAGTTGAGAGGCGGGACCAAAAAGCCGAAGCTCAATCCCCGCAAAGCACAACTAGGTGAGTAGTACCTACAGTAAGCAAAAATTTGCATTATTGGAATAATTTGCATCAGTTTGAATTGCAACTATTTGCAAATTCTAAGCTTCTTTTATATTCATTTACATGGTGACGCAAGATAGGTGAATAGTTCTGCTGACAGAGGTTTACATTTGGCAAGATCTGCTTCAGCAGGTGGTGTGAACTCCCCGAAGCTCACTTCTGCCAACACATTCTTTATATGTTTTATCAGGGAGAAGGTGAAAGCACCCGAGGGCATACGTGCGTGCCTTTATCCGTGTATTCATGTATTTGTGTAACATATTTGTGCTGTTAGCTTTTGCATCCTGCTTTTCTAAGAGCGATGTCTTATGTACACTCTCCCGACCGATTGTGTCTATTGTATCTAATATATACATTAATCTCTCGCATGAATACCCAGGATATATATCTGCAGCCCACAACAGCTGTCAGTCCACAACAAATGTCTAATTACCAGGTACCTATTTACTGCTATATGAACAGAGGCATCAGGTGAAAGAACACACTGCCCAATTATTTTCTGACGCGGCCAGTGGCGTGTGTGTGTGTTTGTACTCACCTACTTGTACTCCCCTCGTTGTGCTTGCGGGGGTTGAACTTTGGCTCTCTGGTCCCGCCTCACAACAGTCAATCAACTGATGTAAAGGTTCCTGAGCCTACTAGACTCTATCATATCTACATTTTAAACTGTGTATCATCGTATAAATTATGGCAGATTGAGAAACAAAATGGCGGCCGATGACACATCCGGGGATCGCTGGAGTGCAGCAACACAGGCCTGAAGCTTATACAACGTGAGAGGTGACTGGCAGTGGCTCAGGTGCTCAGCCAATCAGCAAAGAGCTTTGTGACATCACAGGCGGACAATGAGTCCGCCCCAGGGAGCAGAGCCTGGCTCACTTTTCACATAGACTTCAGACGGGGAGGTTGTGACCTTGATCAATTTCTCACTCACTCAACTCACTCCTTTTATGATAATTGGCTGAGAAACAATGCTTACAATCTCATTAAACTTAACATTCCTTTTAAGTGCAATCTACCAGTCTCTGATATTCCTCTTTATCTGTACCCCACCATTCAAGTATCATACACACCTGTCACCAAGAAAGATAATGAGAATCTTGCTCTACTCAAAGCTGTCACTCTTGAAACAATTGCCTCCTCCATCGAGAGTCTAAGATCTCACGAGCACTGTGTCTACACCGACGGCTCAGTCCAGTCTTCTACTGGACGGACTGCAGCGGCATGTAGGTTCTATAGAAATAATATTTGCACAAAGTCTGTCAGTGTCAGGCTAAACAACTGGCTGACCTCCACACAAGCAGAACTAGCAGCATTACATTTAGCAACCAGCACATTAAAAAATATTGGAGGAGGAATAATATTCTGCGATTCAAAGTCTGCTCTTCAAGCAATCGAAAACTTCTCTTGGAAGATCGACAGCAAGAACCTCATACTACCAATTATAAATGACCTAATTGATGCACAGAGTAAAGGGTCTCGAATTTCCTTTGTATGGATACCTTCACACATAAATATAACCCATCATAATGAGACAGACATTGCAGCCAAATTAGCGTGTAACAAGTTTGAAGTTGAATTAGATCTAGGTATCCCTATCTCTGCTGTCAAAACTGTATTGGTCCAAACATTCAGATCTGATAGGAAAGAACTTACTGACTCCCAACGACCTGAAAGTACTAGTATAAAAAGCTATGATTTGTTCAGATCTGAAACCTACATCTATGGACAGCACAAAACGTCCACTAGACTGTGCGACACAGTGGTTGCAAGGATCAGGTTGGGTTACCGTTACCTGTGGCAGGTGGCTGCAGGTGACGGGTCTCCCAATCCTGAGCACTCCAGTTGCAAACTCTGTGAGCAGGAACTACGGCATGATCTCCCGCACTACATCACTGAATGCCCAATTATTAGACCTTTCAGACCAGTTGGCATGAGGTACCTGGAGCTTTGCAATTACTTTATTCACTCTCGTATTCTTGAAGATATCCTCACAG